CAAGAAATGTAACCAAACAAGTTTTTTTGTTTTCGTTTTTACAAATACAAAACCAAAATTGTTTCTGTTTTTATTTTTTTAAAACTGAAAACTAACAACGTTTCCAAACGCAATCTTACATTTTCATTTAACCATTTGAAACTATTACCTATCACAGTTTTCTTGTCACAGTTTTTTTTATCATAGTTTTTGGGGGTAAAATACACTTTTGATACCCAAAATCTGCAATTAGTGTCTATTTGGTCATCAATCTTCCAATTATGTCTATTGGTGCCTAATGTTTATAATTTGTATCTAGGTGGTCCAACGTCTAACGTCTGTTCGAAAGCCTTTGACGAATCATGTCATGCGTCATCCATGTGGGGGCATTTATGGAACTTCACCTACCAGTTGAAGTTGACCCTTCTACAATTTGGGTTGTGACACGAACAAAATGGAGGGAAAGCTTCCCTCCATTGAAATCTGATGCACCTAGCTATATGTGTATATATATGTGGGTCTATGGCTAAAGAGTGGGACGACTTAAGAAATCATGGAAGATACACAACAGACTAAGAAAATTTGTTGAAGAGCAATGGTTATTAGATTTTCAGCGTGAAAAGAACAGAGCATTGGTGAAGAGAAGAAAACAAAGTAAAGCAAAGAGAAAGAAATGGCATCAGCATGCTACTGTGGTAAAACCTGCAGACTAAGAACTTCATGGCCCGATTCTAATCTTCAAAGGGGATTTTTTGGTTTTGAGAAATATGAGGCAAATTGAACTGAGTGTTAATAAATTTTTTGTTTCTTCTGTAAATTTCAAATGTGTGCAGTGTGAAATCTTACATAATTTACACTTAATTTTGTAGGACTCTGCAGGTTGTGGTTACTTTGTGTGGTATGATGCCCCCATGTGTGAAAGTTCAAGGGTTGTTATCCCTGGATTATTGAAGTCAATGCGCCGAATGGAAAACCAAATTCAGCAAGCTAAAATGATAGAGAGGCGTGCATTGATTGTGTTGAAGATTACCCTTGTTGTTTTATGTTTCATATTTGCATTGGTGATGTATGCCACTTTGTAATTCTCAGTGTATTAGATTGATCAATGTTTGCAATGGAATATGTTACTTAACAATTATTATTAGCACTTTGTTTTTGCAGTGGCTATTAACTTTCACATTCAAACATCAATTCAAAGGTGCAAACAAAAAAACCATTCCATATACATAGCTTAACTAACTGTTATTACAATAGCAAAAAAGGCCACAAACTGTAGCATATAACTTTCAAATTGATTAGTCTGCCAACAAAAAATTGTCATAAGGCCCCAAAATATATTACAATACTTTCACAATGATCAATCTACCCAAAAAACAAGGCTAGTATTAAAAGGTCCCAAAACACAAGTGAAATTCATAACTTTCTTGTAACAGCTTCCAGTGCAGATAAGTTTACCCATCTTTGACCCCTCCACATGAATGATGGAATAGGTGTTGTCTGAGAATTGCCTTGAGTTGATGCAATTGGTGTTGTCTGACAATAGCATTGAGGGGATGAAATTGGTGTTATTTCAGAACTACCACCCTGCATGAAAACCAATTCCAAAGATTCATTAAATTGAAAAACAAGCAAATCATCTATAGACACATGCTTCATATTATACTAACCTGTTCATGAGGATGGACATGCCCTATACCTTGACCTTTTTGATTTCTAACTCCTCTACCAGCCATACTTCTACCTTTGCTTAATCCTCTANCCTTGTTGTTTTATGTTTCATATTTGCATTGGTGATGTATGCCACTTTGTAATTCTCAGTGTATTAGATTGATCAATGTTTGCAATGGAATATGTTACTTAACAATTATTATTAGCACTTTGTTTTTGCAGTGGCTATTAACTTTCACATTCAAACATCAATTCAAAGGTGCAAACAAAAAAACCATTCCATATACATAGCTTAACTAACTGTTATTACAATAGCAAAAAAGGCCACAAACTGTAGCATATAACTTTCAAATTGATTAGTCTGCCAACAAAAAATTGTCATAAGGCCCCAAAATATATTACAATACTTTCACAATGATCAATCTACCCAAAAAACAAGGCTAGTATTAAAAGGTCCCAAAACACAAGTGAAATTCATAACTTTCTTGTAACAGCTTCCAGTGCAGATAAGTTTACCCATCTTTGACCCCTCCACATGAATGATGGAATAGGTGTTGTCTGAGAATTGCCTTGAGTTGATGCAATTGGTGTTGTCTGACAATAGCATTGAGGGGATGAAATTGGTGTTATTTCAGAACTACCACCCTGCATGAAAACCAATTCCAAAGGTTCATTAAATTGAAAAACAAGCAAATCATCTATAGACACATGCTTCATATTATACTAACCTGTTCATGAGGATGGACATGCCCTATACCTTGACCTTTTTGATTTCTAACTCCTCTACCAGCCATACTTCTACCTTTGCTTAATCCTCTACCAGCCATACTCTGCTCAATCCAATACCACTACTCTTGCTTAGTCCAACATCTCTCTCTGTCATATCGGTAGCACCTTTTCCAATTCCAAGTCCATTACCTCTACCCTTGCTCAGACCAATATCTCTTCCCCTGCCTTTGTCTGCTTGACCGTTGGGTTGCCTTCTTCTAACTGATACTTTAACTCGATTTGGCTGTCCTCTTCCTCTGCCAGCTTGAAGAATGTTGCCTTCACCAGTGGTCTGGGTAGCCCTTTGGACAATTTGAACATTGTTTCCTTCACTATTCTTTGGTATTCTAAGTGTACTTGTCCTTTTGTTACGTCCACATTTCTCACTTGTTCTGCACATAACTAAATTTTTTCTTACTTTTCTTAGTCTGTGTGGTTTTTTTGGGTTAACAGCTTCCTTTAACCCTCTCCTTCTTAGCTTCTTGGGTCTCCTAGGTTACTTGCAGCCTAATAGGGGGAATGGAGTATAACCATTAATGGGTTGAATGTGTGTCTGATAAGCCCTCGTGTATGCATTTTTGTTTAAACACTCATTCACAAAGGACTCTAGTTCTAGGCCCCTATCCTAAATAGCAGTTATAGCATGAGGGCATGGAATCCNTTTAAACACTCATTCACAAAGGACTCTAGTTCTAGGCCCCTATCCTAAATAGCAGTTATAGCATGAGGGCATGGAATCCCTGACAAATCCCACTTCATACATGAACATGAGTGCTCACTCAAGTCCACAACATACTAATCCCCATAAGGGCACTTGATTTGATACTTCAGATCCCCAAACCAGTCTGCAATAAATGCCACTTCTTTATATTCCTCTAGTAAGGCATATACTTTTGGACATAGCAATCCATTATACTTCTTCATCCATTCCCTTCTGTTTAACGTCCTATCCTTTGTATAGATCTTCATCCTTTCAAGTAACTCCAAAATGGGCTTATCCCTTGCATCAAGGATAGCAGTATTAAAACTTTCACACATATTATTATCCATAAGATCACACTTTGTAGTGGTTCTAAAAGGTGATCTACTCCACCCTGTTGGTGGTTACTTGACCAACCAATTGAAAGCTACCTCATTCTCTCCTTTCAACAAATCCATTTGTCCTCTAAATTGTTGGACTATTGTTGTAGTTGCACATTTCTACATCATATGCTCTAGTGCTAAACCCTTGAAGGTATTCTTGAAGTTGTTTTTGAAGTGTTTTGCACAGTTCTTGTGCTCTGCTTTAGGAATGAGCTCATGCAGTGTAGGAATTAAACCCTATATCAGATAAATGCAGGAATATACCTTTTGTCTATCTGTTATGAAAGTTCAATGGGGTCCAATCTTCAAATATTGAACCAGAAGGCTTATGAATCATTGTCATGTATCCTTATTTTCAATCTCAACTACTACATATGCTACGAAGACATGTAGTTGTTTGGATCAACTCTAATAACTGCTACCAGTTGACCAATTTGGAACCCCTTGATATGGCAACCATCTAACCCAATTATGAGTCTACATCTTTCCACCAATCCCTTTTTACATTCCTCCAATAGAACCTTTGAAACATTGGCAGATTCATATCCTCATCAATTGGAGCGAACAACTCCACAGTGGACCCGGGATTTGTCCTCTTAATCTCGTCATAATAGTCCCACAATCTAGAGTAATGTTATGCTTCAATCCCATGAATCATGTACATGGATTGGACTCTTTCATTAGGGAAGGGAAGAAGAGGCCTAAGCATGGCGGATGCCGTTCTTTTAGCTCTATATATTGGATTCCTTGACAAATCCAGTTTTAGTTCTTTCCTAATCCTCTACTTCATAGCCCTCACCGACCAATTTGGATTTACTCTGAGTTCCTCCATATATTTTTTGGCCAAAATTGTGGAGTTCATGTTCGTATTGTAGTTTGATTATGCTTACTGGCGTAAGTCTTCACTTGAAACACACCCTTACACTATACTTGAGATGCATACAACAACTAGCCCTCACCATTCTCTTGTAATTCTTAATTATTTTAATATTTCTCTAATTCTTAAGTAAATATTCTCTAATGGCATCCTTCAATTCAGCTGATGTAATGAAAAGCATCCCTAATTTGAATTGGAGGTTGCTCATGTCTATTTCAGGTCTGAATTGCTTGAACCTATACTTTCTTGGCTTGTCACACTCCTATCTAGATGAGCTATCAATATTGACCAGTTCATTTGAGGATCCATAATCAGAGTTAATATCCTTAGGGTTCAACTTTTTGTTGACATTTGAATGCCCTAAAGACCCTTTGTATCCCTCTTGTTTATTAGAACTAGGTCATTGAACTTACACATCCACATTATCATCATTGAACATTCCATATCATCAACAACATTTTCATATTCAATAGACTCTGAACCAGTTTGGTTTTCTACCTCCACATATTCAGAATCTAATTTAGAGTCTGTATCTCCACTACCCATTGGGTTATTCTCACCTTCTTCTAGCAAACAAGTCTATTACTTGGAAAACACTGAGACATTTTCTTTATTGCCTCATCACAAGACACATGCTTCAAACCACTGGCCAAATCGCAACCAGGGTAGTAGAAGGCCAAATATAGTGTATACCCTAGCTTTTCAGCAATATCATCTAATTCCAACAAAGAGAATTTTTCTGGATCAATACCTTTTATGATATCAACCTTCCCACCAACATATGTTTTCACTGGTATATCTATGAGTTACCCACCATAATGAATCTCTATTGAAATAAGCTTAGAACATGGCACTGTACAAGTGATATAACAACATTGAGTAATATTTTAATTAGAATTTAGTGATTAAACAAACATGTGATTTTTCAAACTTTTTATAATCATTCTACAGATTATTTTGGGTGAACAAAACAAACATATGAGACCATAATATGGGACCATGAAAATACCATCATGAACATCTATTTTTGAAGAATATAAGGTAAAGACAAAATGTCAAAGACAATTCAGATGAAAATACTTACTACCACAATCGTCACTAGTGGCGGAGGCAAATAGGGGCTAGGAGGGGCTCGGGCCCACGCTAATTTTTTTAATTTATATTTTTTATACTTTTTTAATATATTCAATTGTGCCCATCCTCACGAATTTAAATAAAATAAAATTGGATCCATTGGGATAACAAATCTCTTAGTTAATGGAGTAGAATAAAATATAATGGGCTATAGAATTTCTTGGAATCAACAACCAAAAAAAAATAGATAAAAAAAAGTCTAGTCCACTCCATTTTCGAATTCTCCCGCAAAACACTAAAGCAACAAAGTATCTATAATTTGTGAAGTGTCGCACGCTGCAACCTTCAAACTTTGGTATTGATATTACCATTTGTGACTTTGACATTGATATTTTGATCACATCTTATAAAATTAACTTTATTTTTTATAAAGGGTTATTATTAACCTCTATTTAGTTTTTTTTTTGTTTGCATAGATATTATATACGTGTATAATCAATCTTTACGTATCAAATATGATGTAAAAAATAAAAATGAATAATATTATTTTTACCTATTAAAGGATAAAGTAAAATTTATAGTTAAAGTGTGTCCACCCTATTACATATTCCTAACTCCGCCACTGATCGTCACCACCATAAACATGAACATCCATATTCTTCTGCTGCATGTGTTGAATGGTGCAACTCTTTGTCAGAGTGGAAGAACAATAACCACCAAATTCCTACTTTCTTTGCTTCTCTAGAGAGAGAAGATGAATGAGCATCTGAAGAGGCGAATTTTGTTTAATAGAGAGAAGAAGGGTCAGCTTTAATTGGTAGGTGAAGTTCCATAAATTCCCCCATGTGGATGGTGCATGACATGATTCGTCAAAGGCTTTTGGACGGACGTTAGACATTGGACCACCTAGATAAAAATTATGAACATCAAGGGATCAAATAGACACATTTAGAATATTGGGGACCAAGTAGACTCTAAATACATACTTTGGGAACTAAAAGTGTATTTTACTCTAGTTTGTGTCACAATTTTCAAATTAAAGCAATCATTTTGATACAAAAAAAAAAACAAATACAATTTTTGGCATTGATCTTGGCAAAGGAACTCCTCAACGACCAAAAAGTGGAGAAAATATACAATGCAACGGTGATACCATGTTAGCAATGTTGATATGGTATCACCAACCAATAATAAACTAGCAAGTGGGCAAAGCAAACCCCACTTGGGTATTTATTGGCTTATATGGAGAAAAAAAGAGTAGTTATTTACTTACATGGAGGGTTAGTTATTATTTTTTGTGAGATCCATTTACTTATTTGTTTTGATATTATTATTTGGTAATACCATATCAATATTGCTACTTAATATCACGATTGTAATGAACATTTTTTCAAATAAGTGGCGGTAGTCCGCTGCCAAAAGATCGCCCTATTTGGTGGCCTCGTTTGCCAGAAAATAAAGTACCTCTGCTTCCTTTGCAAGCGAATGAATACAAAGCCCTCTCATATTCGTATTCACTTTCACGCCCGTGTTAAAATCCTCTGGCACACCATCCCAGTGTCTATATCTCTTCTCTCTCTCTCTCTCTCTCTCTCTCTCACGTGATATTTTTTTGTGTGATTTAGTGGTTTCAGTAAGATGATTCCCCATAAGACGAAGAGAGGCGCCATAGCGCTGGCGAGGTTGAGGACATATGTGGAGGTTCCACTTCCACCGGCATATCTATATAATAAAACAACTAGGAGTTTAAATTTTTATCTTACACATATTTTCTTCCCAAAACCATCTTATCACCAATTCTATCACAGGTTTAATCATTTAATATTTAATTAATTTGTAGTTTAACATAATTATTGTTTCATACATTGTTCATATACGATAATGTACACATGTTAAAAATTTTTTGTAAGGTTATACATTTTGAAAAAAATTTGATATTATTTTTTAAAAAATAATATATAGAAATTAATTTTAAATGATGTAATCAAATAAATGAATAAATAAAAAATTATTATTTAGTATAGTAGTATTAATTTTTTAAACGAACAAATTTTATATTTTATCGTGTTTTCAGACATGAGGTATAACTAGTCTATATAATAAAATAGCTCACAAGTTGAATCTTATCTCCTACACATTTTTCCCCCAAAAAAATCANAGGTATAACTAGTCTATATAATAAAATAGCTCACAAGTTGAATCTTATCTCCTACACATTTTTCCCCCAAAAAAATCACTTCACCTATTTCTATCACATGCCCAATTATTTTAATATTTGATTAATTTATAGTTTAATATTTTTTTTATTTCAAATTTTATCCATACATGATCGTATACATATGTTGGAAAAAATGTCAGATTACGTA